AGGTTGTGTCCATGCAACGAATCATGAAAGTACAGAGTCTCATTAATCCAGGAACAAAAAGACACTGTCCCTGTGCTTCCAAATTTCCAAAATGAGATATCCTAACAGCAAGTAGGAGAATAATTGCCTTAGTATTATTCTCCCTGCCATGGCTCACAAGGAACCAGATTTGGTTATAAGGGCAATGCTGATTTGTGTAATATCTCTTTTGATCAAATACTCATGCTTGCCCCAAATACAGTCTCCAGCTGGCACTGCTGGAATTAGAAAACTCACCAAGGTGAATCAATAATCTGACCCAGCAAGACATTTCTCACACTGATACAGAGGTCTGGAAAAGAAATCAACTTACAAAAAAACATACGAATCAGAAAATTCTCATTTCAGTCGAACAGTCAAGTAAATAGAAAGTAAAGGCATGTAGGACCATAAGGGCTCTCAAAGATTGCTCTTGTTCTGTGGCAGCCTATCTTAAGTTTTCACTGAGCTCTGTCTAATCTACGCTGACCAAAAAAAAAAAAAAAAAAGATGCTTTTACTGAACCAGGTTTTGGCCATTTCTTCATTTACTGGAAACTTACAAATTCTGATCTTTGAGGAGGACCAGCACAGACCTAGGGGCTTCTTTTAAAATCCTAGCCACTCCTTTGATAGCAAGCAGCTTACTGAGAACTTCTCCTTCAAAGTGTACTGCCACAAAATGTGCTTCTATTTAATGATGATTTAGTTTACCTCACATTTCTGCCATATCCTTAGAAGGTTAGATGAGCCATTGAAATCTCCTTACTGAAATCCAGATATAAATACCTATTATTTTGCCATTCACTGTTAGGCAGTTACTCTGCCAAAAAGGGATTTTGATTGTTTTGACATTATTTGTTCTTAACAACTGAAGCCAGGTTGTTCTAGATTACCTTGATACCCTTTAGGTGCTTATGAATTGATTATTTGATAACTTATTGCAGTGTTCTTCCAGATATTGAAGCTAGCTGACTCACTTACAAGGTCAAAGTGTGCTTTTACCCCTTTTCAAGACAGTTGCTTCCTGGCCCTCTATTAATTCTCTTTAACCTTTCCATACAAGTGTTAATGCTGAGAAAGTGATTAAGTACTCTGCTTAACAGTGATGTGATCAACCAGCATCTCATGACCCACTGTGAGGAATCCCATGTTAATACATTTCTGACTTGGAGCCCTGTTGTTACTTGAACCCTGTGAGTTACTCCAGAAAATAGTTAAGATTTTCAAATTTTTCTCTAAATATAATGCTGTATGGTCTGTAAAAATAGAATATGCTAATGCTAAAATTCACCAAAGCACTTTGCAGTTGTTTGTGAACCTTTTCTGGGAAATGGGGGTGCACCCTGATTTTGCAAGTGGATTACTTAAAATACGAAAGAGAGAAAGAAATTTTAGGTGGACTGTAATATAGTATAGCAGAAACAGAAAGAGATGTTTTGCCATAGATTAAGTAAAACCTGATAGTAGTTTATACAAAGAAAATCTAGGGAAGTATTTGTCTGTTGGTAAGGCTGAAGTGCTACAAATGGCCCTACCAGGCTTGCTCTGTGTCAGAAGAAAGCTGGAGAATGGAATGTAACAGCGACTGAGATTTGCACTATAAAATGATAGTAGATCATTAGATCATTGCTCTATCAAATGATAGATGTCTGTTTTATTTATATTTTTATGTTTTAATTGTAATTGATGTGTTTTACTATCACAGACCAACTAATGATTAAATACACTTTTTTAAACCTTTATGGCACTGACACTAAAGCATGACACTTCCATGAATCACAATCCTATTACAATCTTATTGAGGTCTCTTGGACTAAAGGTTTGTGGGCCTTCAAAAGCATGCATATGGGAGTGGGGATTTCTCTCCCCATGACAGACTCTTTACTGACATTAATATAATCTCACAGTGGTCCTGACACTGCTCAGTATCTGTGGATATTGGAGCTGTTTAGTGTTGGTGACCTTCAGATGAGTGTTATTACTACAGTAATTTTAAAGCTTCAGGATTGAAATATCAGAAAAGCTGAAACTTACATGCCATAAAAAGCTTATGATTTGGGGTGCAATGCCACATGGATCCCTGCTGCCATCAAGTCAAATGCTCTCAGGAATGACATTAGAAAACAGCTGCAAACCCCTTGGTATAGTACTTTGTTTTGTTAATGTACTACACAGAGCTAGGCTGGCCAAGCTGTATAAGCAGACACATCACCTATATAAGCATGTCTCTTTGTACTGCATGGAATTCCTTTCTCCATATGCTCATAAACTCTAGAGAGAGTATCTAAGAGCAGAACAATGCATGGCATCCCACTGGGCTGATTTTCTTTCCCACGTCTCAGGAAAGGTAAAACCTTTTTCTTTATTGTAACTGATTTAATTGTATTTTCAAGATACTTCTTTCCTCACTCCCTCTCTCTCACTGTTTTAGCTCTTTTCAATCGTGCTTTCTTTTCATCTCTTTTTTCTTTCACCTTCTTGTCTTTTCTGTGCTGTTTTCAGATCTGTCTTCAGTAAAGCCAGAGAAAGGAGATTTATATCTTCAAGCAGAGTGATCTGTAAAGCCATGACCCTGCTTACAGAATGCCTTGTCTTTCATTATCCTAAGGTTCAGAAGAACAGTGCTATCAACATGCAAAGAAAAGGCTTTTCTAATACATTCTTGGACAGTTTCACAGGCAGCCTTGAAAATAAACATAAAGACTTAGAATTGATGTAGAAAGTAGTGGGGGAAGGCTGAAGCCTTCTGGGGCTCTTCACATGACTTCTTTAGAGGCAGAGAAAGCAGCTATCCTTGTCCATATCATCCGAACAAACATTCTTATAAGCAGAAAGGATCCATTTCAGAGGCTCTGTAATTATCACTAAGGTCTGAAAAGAGGAAGTTTGGCAGAGGCTAGCTGGAGCTAGAAGCTAGCACTGCAGGCAAGCCCAGGAGAATGAATACAGAGCTGCCAGCACCCTCTATATGACAACCAAACCTGAACCTCTGCTGAGGACTGTCCTAGATTTCAGTGACAAATATGTGCACAGGAGCATTTCTTCATGGGCCACTTTACTATCTTGTTTGAATGTGGGAGGTTTAACACCAATCAGTAGCTTGGAAGATCTGATTGCTCCAGAGATGGCATTGAGAGGACTGGCTGAACAACAGTATGACTCGGAGTGGAACTTGACCTTTTCTTCAAAGCCAGTGTTAAGATTTCCTATCATCTGCAGCCTAAGCTGCTCCTGGACATCCCTTGCCATCCATCCCAGCAACAGCAGACTGGTGTCTCAAATACAAGTGGTGGCTGATGCTTTACAACAGATCTAAGGGTTCTTATGATATCAAAATGCCCTAAATTGGAGCATAGGGGATGTTGTGTAGCATCTTAGGTCAGAGTGTACTTTCTCATTGTGTTACTGGTGGTGAGCTTCTGCAAGCAATGCCCAAGAGACTTCCCTGTACTCTGCAGCACTAGTCACTCTAGCGGCATAAAACCACTCTTGCTTAACAAAAAAGAGTGATTCAGATGTTGCAACTGCAGAATTTTTCAAGCACAGCATGCCTGTAACTGCATGGAAGGATGAGCTTCATCATACCTGTCTTTCACCACCCATGCAGGCATACCGTCAGGCCACAAGCCAAAAGCAGCTTCTGAGTCTGTATATGCAAGTAATTAGAAACTTTGTGTATGTGTAGTCCTTTTTCCCCTCTGTTTTCTACAATACCTAAACCACTGTAAAAACTAAAGCTAGAAAAATTGTATCTGATCCCATTTAAACTGTTCCTTTACAGTCAGAATTGAGTAGCTTCTTCCAGTCCCCAAGCACTTTTTTCCTAGAAGTTTTGTTGTGTCCCTCAGGTTTTTCTTGCATTTGGTGTGATAGAGATTGCTCATATCCACTTTCAGCAATTTAGACTTCTTTCTGTATTGGTATGTATATGATTTCTTATCATTTTTCTCAAAACACTTAACAGTTAAGTTTACCCATGTCTGCATTTGGCTACACATTACATTTCTCTCCATAAGCTAATTTCATGTGCTGACAGACCACCTCTGTGTTGATTTGGCCAGAAGTAGATTCAAATGTGCTACTGACCTTATGCAATAGTTAAAGCTCTTTCTTGGAAATAGCCATAGGTGCCTATCTTCTCCTGCAAAAAGGAGCTATTGAGTTGAAAACTGTCTTTTTAAGGACCTCAGAAAATCTCTCCTTCCTGACCTGAAACTGCCCTAAAATTCAGTTGGTTTACTTGTTTGTGAAAAACACCTCCTGCCATGCTGGCCAAACCCAATTAATTTCCTGCTGGTCCTCCCCTGTCTGTCTCTGCTCTCTGTTGGTCTCTTGTTTTATTATTAGACTGTGAACACTTTGGGGCAGAGAGCCTTTTTTTAGTATTATGGTATATAGTGATCTTGGACCATGGGTAGGACTGCAAGGTGCTACTGGAAAAAAAAGTGACCACAAAACTCAAGTGCTCTACATCTTCATTTCGCAATTTGTAATTCTGAGTCTGGCACGTCAACAAACACTCAACAGGGAAGGAAGGAGACTGGGCTCTGGAATCATAAGTTTTACTATTAAATGTTAGTATGATTAGTTATTCCTTTGAAATCAGTGATGTATCTAATGTCAGAGAGAGAATATGTCAGGTCCTATACCCTTAGGCTTTAACAACCTAAGCATGATTATATAGCGTGAGATTTGAAATCCTGAGTACATGTAGTTTGTTGAGTGTCAAATGTGGATCAGGAAACAAGGGTAACTGCAGCATCTGAGGGAGGCACGTACCTCAGGCAGATAAAAGGCAGGAGAAAAAAAATTTAAGACATTAAACTGGGAGAAGGAAAATGCAGGATGCTCATGAACAAGCATTCCCTTCCTGTGCAGTGCGTGAAACTGCAGAATACTCTGAAACCTTACAGGGCTTAATAAGAAATATCACCAGTTTCAGCTCTGGGCCCCAGAACTGGAAAGAGCTCACTTTACTTGCCTGCTGATTGAATATATTTATTTATTGCATTAAGAGAATGACCCAACAGTGACCCTCCAAGGAATGCACTTCATAGATTTTAAGCATGTCCCTACCTCTAAATGTGGGGGCGGGGGGGGGGGGGGGGGAAGTATGTGGTGGAGCGTGCAAGTACAAACAGAAAGAAAATTTTGTACAGAATCACTGCCTGGACTGTTTGATTTTTGAAACGCCTCCATGAGTGGGAGCTTCCAGGGAACAAGGTAGGTCTGTGCCTGCAAAAGAAGCCCCGAGCAGCAATGCAGCTCCCACGGGGCCCAAGTCCTGCACAGGCACCAGCCCGGCTGCGCACGGCCAGCAGGCTGTGTGCTCGCTCTGAGCTCGCCCCAGCTGCTGCTCCTTGTTCCTTTGACGTGTACGTGTGTGTTACATGACTATAGAAGGAGCAATCAGTCAGCTCCCAGGAATCTTAGCAACAGCCGCGTCCCCAGAAAAGGCTTGTAGCAGCTGGAGCGGTGATGACTCAGCAGCATGGTCTCTCTGGCCTCTTGCTGATCCCTGGCAAGGACTGCAGTCCAAGTTCTGGCTCCCTTGTTTGGGTCAGTGCTTTCTTGCTGGCACCAGTAGATGAATTCCTGGATCCTGCTGGCCTTGGCATTCAAAAGCAACCAAAAATTAGCTGATAGCTGCAGCCAAGAAAGTTTTTTGTTCTCTTCTTTCTTTAATGACAAATTAAAAAAAAATCAAAACAGAAGAAAACTGAACAAAACCCGCAGAATCCTGTTAGTGCACTGTAACAGTTTCATCTGCGGCAGATGTGTAGGGGAAGACAGTCACATGCCAGGAGACCCACATCCCTTTGCTCCCTTGGGGAATGAAACATATGGGTGGGTTGGGGCTGGGCTGGAGACTATACAAAACATCACTGGAAGGTTTGTTTATTTTCTGTACCGAGAGTTTGAGGCTGTGGTGTTGAGTAATTCTGTCGACATTTCACCTAGTTCAAGTCACTAGTGCAATGAATCTATTTGGCCTCTAGTTGTTTTCTACTCGGAGGATGTTAGTGTCACAGCCTCCGTCCACCCTCCTGCAGTAATTCTATAGATGACCGAGAAGAAAAATTTGGATTAAGGTGTCAGGGGTCAGGACTGCAGCGTGCTTGCACGGCGGGAGGAACGCTGTGGTGGGTGGTGAAGGGACTCAGGCCTGGGTGAGCAAAGGGTCTGCAGGGTCCCTGGGCAGTGCTGCCCCCGGGAAAGAGGCCCCTGAGGAGCCGAGGGGGAAAGAGAGCGGACAAGAAGGGGCCACAGGAGCTGGGGAGGGGGGCTGGACGTCTGGATTCTTTTGGCAGAGGGCTGCCGGGAAGCTTGCTGGTCCTGTGCCAGGCTCCAGCGAGCTCCACTCAGTCCCTCCCTTTCACGAGCACTAAAAATTCATCCTGAAACAAAAACATCCGTGCGTGTGTGTGTGTGTGTGTATGTGTGTATGTGTGTGTGTGTGTGCTTAACAATCTGCCTTCTCAGCAGCACCACCGCCACCCCGGCATCGCTGGCCTCATTACTAGCAGCAGGAAATGAGTGAAACACAAATGGCTGGGGAGGAGGCAGGAGGGGCCGGCCCGCTCCCGGCCATGGGGGCTGCTGGGAGCTGCCGCGCCTTGGTGCAGATGTCGCAGCCCTCAAATGTCTGCCGGAAATTACAGCTCATGTCGGGCGGGGAGACGTGCGCTGCCCGGCTGGGGAGCCCCGCGGGAGCCCCCCTGCCCCGGGCCGCCCTCCCGCGCTGGGGCCGGCCACTCCGGCCCTCGCCAAACCTAGCTCGTAAATTAGCTCGACTGGAGAAAAATGCACGTAGGAAAGCGTCTCGGAGCAGGAAGAGGGAAAAAAAAAAAAAAAAAGGCAACCTTCGCCTGGAGAGGGGTGGGGGGGGGCCGGGGCGTGCTGGGGGGCGGCCCGGCGGGGAGGCTGCGGCTGCGGCCGCGGCCACTGCAGGCAGGCGGGGAGGAGCGAGGCGGTGCCCCCAGCCCCAGCGGGCCAGCAAAGCTGCCGGGAGCGGCCGCCCCGCTTCACTCCGGAGCCCGGAGCCTTTCCCAAATAAACCCCGCAGCGCAGGCCCTGTTTCTTGAGGGCAGGGGGGACCGTCCTGCCTTGTACAGCCGCGGTACGGGGGAGGCGAGTGTGCCGCGCTCACGTCCGCAGCCCTCATTGCGGCAACCGCCGGCAAAAGGCTGGGAACGTGGGAAAGTGACTGGGTGTGCGCAGCGAAGCAGGGTACAGGAGGGTGTTGTAAGTACAGCAGAGCTAAGTGCATTCGGATGCTCTGGGGAATGTCTGCCAGAACGGCAAGAGCAGCACCTCAACTGCCTCGAACAGCAAAGAGCAGGGTGCCTCATGGTGTGATTCCAGCATTACTCACCCCAAGGATCAGGCGCTTCCCCACCCAGTTACATATGACCAGGAAATTACAGGCTGCGCTGCTCCCCGCCTGCCTGAGCGGCTGCCGTATCATATGATACACACCAGAGCAGCGTGTCTGATGAAACGGCACAGCAGCGTGTGCTTAGTGAAACGCTGTTTTGTGGAAAAGACAGGCTGGGCTGGGTCACGCTGTCATTTGGTATCCTGAATGCATGCTCCCTCTTGCACATCTTGCCATTAATTAAAATACTGGATAAAAATGAAATCCTGATCTTTCTTGTGCTTGCTGCTCGCGGATTTTCTTCTGGTAGACTCCACAGCCAGCCCTGTGTGGCTTAGGTGTTGCAATTCCTCTCTCTTACTTCACCCATCCAATTTGTGGACAAACTAATTATTCTTCACACCCAGTGTTCACAAGATCTTTGTTCCTATAGCCATTGTATCAAGGGCTCCGCATCTCTCATCTTTATTACAATAGCATTTATATCCCAGATCAGACATGCACCTCTCCTCTCTGCAGTACACAGCAAATGGAGCTAGAAAGGTCATCTCTGCAGCACACTGTCATGTTCCAGGCTTGAATTTATATACTACTTCCTACTTAACTGAGTTTAAGGAACTTGTTACAATGAAAGTCACCTGTGCAAGACGATGCATTTTTTTTCCAGTATGCTTCTCCCTGTCTCCTCCACTAATAATGTGAGCTTTTGCTAGCCTTGCCAGTCTCCTCACGCCCTTTCATGCCGTTCTCTAATACCTCTCTGCTCCACCTTTTGCAGCAGCATCTCTACTCAGGTCAGCTTTCTGCAACTATGGTAGTCTGACCTCCTACAGTTTTGTGTTCTATTGATTCCAAACACCAGTTAAAAGCTCTTTCTTCCATGTGTTTTTAAGAACTGCAGCCTGTGTGAATTTTATGAAGTCTGAGAAAATATAAAGTCCTTTTGCAACCTACTTCTGAGTTGAGGAAAAGGGTCTTCTCTTGGTTTTTTGCTTTAATGAAATTAAGTATATCTGAACCAGCTTCTCACCCATCCAATTTGCTTTTAGTTGACCACTGTATCAAAAATCATACATGCATCTGGACAGACCTATGATGTCATATACTCTCCCCCTGTCAAAGATCTTGTGATCACACAAACCTTTCTTTGCAAAACCAGACTGCAAAATTGTGACTGTAAAACCCTGTGCTGCTTCTCATTACACTCCTTCTATGTTAATTGTTTTATTTTCACTATTGGTCTGTGCTTGCCTTTTTATATCTCCTGCTTCTGAGGGCAGGGTGTGAGCTATTTTCTCTGTTCCTGTAGAGTGTTAAGTGTCTTACGGGCATAACAATTTCATTAGTTAATAACTACGAACAATTTGCATTAGTATCATAGATCCTCCTATGTCACATCAGACCACTGCTCCAGCCAGTCAAACGTACCTCCATCTCATGGTGCTCTGAATCAGCTATCCCCCAGTGAAGTGAAGCCCTCATGTGTGGTAGTGGTAGGACACCCAATTCCAGTCTCATTTTGCAGAGTCTGTCCAAGATTTGCTCGTTCTCAGTGAATCCCTTGCCCAGCCATCTTGGATCTGAGTTCCTGCATAAAAGGACACTCCAGTTGAACTTGGTAGTGTGTCTGATAGAGAGATTAGCCAAACTGTTCAGAGGCAAGGATCATGGCTCTGTAATACTCCCAGTGTGGCTATCATCTAGGGTAGACAAAATACAAGGATTAAGTAAGACTTCTCACTGACCCCAGTCCTGTGCCTCCCAGCACTGGGGATTGGAACTTCCTTTCACCCAATTCCTAGTGCCTTTCTCTTTCTTAGAGATGTCTATTTTTTCTTTAAAATACAGTATTTGCTTCCCTAGTATCGTGCAGTAGCAAATTCCACAGTTTATCCTATAATGCTTTTCTTCAAGGAGAGATAATATGTTCTTGATAACATCAACTGATTTTTTACATCCTGTATCAATCATACTGAATTACGAGGAAAACTGTGAGTCTCCTGGGAGGGTTTGATGGCTTTATAGTGGAAAGAATCAGGAACGTGAGACTTGGGTGAAGAATTTCAATTAAAAGGAAGCTAGGAAGACTTTTGAGACAGGGTGGACACCTGTATTTTATTCTAAGAAATATTTTTTTGTTTGTATATCTTCTATTTCATATCCTGCACAAAGCCTTTTTCAGCACAGAATCCCACACTGAGACTCAGCAGATGGATGATTCAGCACAAAAAAATAACACATTTAGGAGGGGGGAAATGAGCTACTCCTTGAATATTGTTCATTTATACACTGTTTGGTCTTTGCAGCATGACTGTTATCCTGCCTAGGAATGGGAAGACAGTTTCAGGCAATGAAAGCAGTATGAGAAAAGAGATGGGACAAGACTGCATTGCCACTTGGGAAGATTGAAAGAATAATTGAAAGTGCTGTTGAACTGGGAAGAGCCAGAAACTGAACTGCTGATTGTATGCAGCTGGAAACCATGATGAAAAAGGCCTTCTACTGGGAGATGACTGTGGTCACTGTTCCTTCCATAGCAGCTGGTCCCTGTAAGACACTGTAAACTCAGCACCACTTACAGGCTGAAGACCTGAAAGAAATGCTGGTGCACCTGATGTTTATGATATAATGTCCCAGGAGTCTTGTGAGAATACCAGCTTGTAAATTATGGCATATCTGGAGTAAGTTCGCTGTTGGCACTCTTGGGCAATATATAAGAAGAAAATGTGCATCTTAGTGAAGGCACACTTAAACCATTATGAAGGAGACCTGTATTTTTGGAACGACAGGTCCTCCTCCATGTCTGGAGCATGACCTACTTGGTGACTGAGAGATCTGTTGTTTATAGGCAATGATTCCTCAGAAACAAATCAACTAAATGAACAAACTGGGTGATAAAGTAGAACTGAAAACTGCATTGTCCTCCTCAGAGTCATAAAAATTCATCCCTTTTACAACTGCTGAGTGCTTTGCCAATATCATGCCAAGGTGAGAACAGAGGGGGAAGGGAAGGATATTGAAAAGGAAAATAAATAGGCCAGGTAAACAGTGCTGCTGCTGCAGCAGCTGTGGTTGCCATGGCAACTGGGGTGAAGAAGAGGAGGAGGGCGGAGGCGGATTGATCGATAGTCCTATGCTTGCTCATCTGGCTTCCATCCACGTGCTACTACAGAGGGAGAGAAAAATCAAAGAGCCACACGCAGGATGGCCAGGTCTCCAGTTCAATACATGGCAGCAGCTTGATCAATACCTTGTTGGAAGGTGGGTAATTGACTCCCCTTCTACCCAAGAGAAAGCGGTGCGGTGACACAGATGTGTTCGTTAGCTACTGATTCTCAGCTCTACTTTATTACCCAGCTTGTTCATTTAGGTGATTTGTTTGTTTGCTTGCTTGAGATCCCTCTTCAGTCTGATTTCTCCCTGTGCTTGTCAAAGATGAGCACCAGCTGCTGGAGCCAAGCCAGAACTGCCCCCAAGTTTCTGAGTTGCTTTCCCTCTCTCCTCCTTTATCCTTTCTTTGCTCATACTAGCAGTTTTATCTCACACTGGCAAAGGTTTTGACAGGGAAAGCTGGAAACAGGGTCAGCCTTTTCTTCTGGGATTTCTTGAGCTTCCTTTCCTGGGGTCTGGAGGAACATGATTATGGCTCATCTAAACACAAAGGAGCACAGTAGCCCCTCAAATAATTAAATTATTAGGTCTATTTTTGCACCTCACAAACCAAGTGAATTATAGGGAGGGATTTACAACTATTATTTTTGTATGTCTGCCCTTCTCCAGAGGAATACCTGCAGAGGGTGACTAGGTGATGCCATCAGAAAAGACAAAAACTAAAGAGAGGTATCAAAGGAAAGGACAGGAAATCAGGGCATGCTGAGGAAAAAAAAAAAAAGGAAGAAAGAAAGAAAGAAAATAGGAAGATGCAGAAAAATAGATATTTATGAGGAAAGCACATATTCATGAAGTACTGAGATAGTGTAGGCTAATTCTCCATTACTACCTAGAGCAGGGCAGGGAGCCTTGGCACATGGTACCAATTTGACCTTGAGGCAGGCAATGCTGCATTTTGTAAACAAGCCTGTATGATACAACTAAGTTCACCCTCATGCTGAATAAATTTCTGCAGGTGTTTTCCAACAAAACATAGCAGAATTTGAGCGTGGCAAAACAAGGACTTAATGTTTTATCTTTTCTGTCAAAGCAAGAAGCTCAAACCTCCCTATCACTTCTTCGGTCACTAGGAACTTAAGTGACTTCAACAGGAAAAAACAAAGCCACTTTTTGTGGTGCAACATCCATCAGCAAACTGACCATAAAATGGTAAATCTAGATTCTGGGATGCTCTGGACGGCAAAGGCCATCGCTTTGCTCTATACTTGTCTATTTTCCAGCTTGCTGGAGTCCTGTACAATGAGCACATAGGCATATAGTAATAATGAGAGCAGTAGTCCATTGCTGGATAACTGATACTGCTTTGTAGAGCAATCAGCCCTTTAGGGTATAGCTAAGAAGAGGCAAACATACAAGAAATATCACTTTCTTCAGTTCCCTGGATTTTTCTTGGAGTTAACCCATCTAAATGCACTGATGTTCAATTTTATTTAGCTTCTGAATTTAAAATGAAATCTCTCTTGGAATTCTGCTTCCCTTAAGTTAGTTGGCTGCAGTCCAGTTCCCAAAGCTTGTGCTTTTAGAGCTTGATCCAATCCCAGAGAAGTAACTGAAAATTGCTCCACTGATTTTAATGAGTCAAACCACTGCATGAGGAGTAAGCTATAATCTCTCAAGGCTTTTTTTTTATTATTTCTTCTATATGCTTTGAAGCACCAGCTGGTGTATCTCGCAGACGCTGGATATAAATCACAGTGGGAAGAGGGGGCTGTATGAGCACAACTGCTCCCTGTTGCATAACCTAGAAGATGCAGGTTAATTCAGGCAATGCTTACAAGGTAGAGGCTACAGCTCTTTTCATTCCCCAGTATATCTGCCTCTGGAAATATTTACAAACCACACAAAGATGCCTCTGTGCCCTGCAGAATATTTTCCTTTGGTTCCTTTGTGAGTGGGAAAATAAGAGCATCCTAACCTCTGGGCATAATTTATGACAGAAGTAAATAGCAGAATGATAGAACAG